AAATTGATAAATATCCAAATGTGCTTCCAAATGCAATCAGTGTCTATAACAAGCCCATTAGTGATTTTTCCATTGCTAATAATAGTGTTCTTTTATTCCTAAGTAAGCCTTGCAAACTAGATCAGTTTTATGAACATTTTAATTGACACAATATATGAGCAGAATTATAAGGAGGTAAAACCAGTGGTGCATGAGAGGCCCGTGTTGGCATTTCTGATCCTCTCCACTGGTTTCAGAACTAGCACAGTGACCTACAGATCTTGTGGCTGATTTAGTACTTTTCTGTATCTTGTACAGAGGTGGATTTGAAGCTGTACAGATGCAGATAGATAACTCAACAAGACGTCCATAACAAAGAACATTTATTGGTTCATCAGGTATCCTCATAACTCACGATTGTGATGAAGTTCTTCTTTAATGACCAATCCCTTTGTATATCTGCCTTGTAGTAAAAGATGGTTATCTCCTAACCCATCTCGTAGAGATAGAAAGAAGCTGCCATGAGTAAGAGAGTTCAGACAAAGAATGAGGAAAACTCCCCCAACCCATCGAGGGTCAAACTAGTGACCAATCAGGATTACAGATGTGGTTACGTGACATGGACTACATTTCCCAGGATACCTTTAACTACATTTACCAAGATGCATTCCCTTAAGGGGGCAGCTCCTAATTCTTAAGGAACTATCCAATTCCCATAGACTGGCTGGGACAGCGCAAGTACACATGGATGGGATCTACTTGCCTAGTTCCAAATCAAGACCAGGGGATGTTCTGGTGATACTGCAAATTTTTCATCACCTACAAAGTTATTGCAACTATTATTTAGTGTCTGTGCTATGGAGATTCTCAGTTATCCAGGTCATGGTTGTCCCAAAGGTGTTTTTTTCAAGAGGCAACTGAGCTCAGAGCTGAAGAAGCTTCTTGGATAAGAAGCAGAATGTCTTCAAAGTAAACCAGAAAGTCCAGTTGCCTCTTGAAAAACCACCTTTGGGACTACAAAGTTATTGTTAAACACCCTTTTAACAATAGATCTCACAGCAGAGATAGGAACACAGTTATATAATCTTGTACCAATTCTGTTTCCATATATATTTGGATAACACTGTTCCAGTATTTAAGAGTATTAGACACAATATTCGAGGTTCATTCATTTGCTGATCTTTCAATGTCACATACTATATGCAATTGACTGTCAATACCTTCTACAAACTCTGTAAGACATGTACACCAGTACTATGCAAAAAAGAAATGGATGCAAAGTTAAAATAAAAAAATGGTGATATTAGAAGAACCAATGAGGAGTATATCTCCTGCCCATGAAATTCTACTGTTGAACTGAACCTTCCTATTTTCATAAAACTTGAAAGTGAGACTGTAATACAGTTAAAAAATGGACATTTATTACCCATGACTTGAATCAGAGATATGTTAGCATACCACACTTCTTATTTAACTTACCAACAGCAGGATATTTGTGATATTGCTAACACTACTTTATAACTCATCCCTGTTAATGAAGTCATTATCATTGCCCACCCTTTCTTCATTTCATTTCTCATTGGCATGTCAGTCATGTTAATAAACCTGCAAGTTAAGATAAGCTGATGCATCTAATGAGGTGGACTCTTGCTGAAAGCTCTTTGTGTCATAATAAAACTCCTTATCTTTATGAAATGGGTTATAGGTTACAAAATATTATGTCACAATCAATTCATTAAATTATAAGTGAAGGCTTGTCTGACATGTTCATTCCTGCTTCGTTCTTGCTCCAGGCTTGGGCCTCTTTTATCTATCTGTTGTCTTGGTTGCAGCTCTTCCATCTTCCCCTTAAGGCTATTCCCACTGCCCTCTACATCCTGTAAATGAAGAGGGTCTGGAACAGAAGCTGACAGAAGTCCAAATTTACAACTTCCACTGTAAGCCATCACCTCCATCCCCCTGGCATGAGGGCAGTAACTCTGACAGCCCCATTTTGTTGCAGAATTGTAATAAGAAGAACGCTGTGAGGGCAGAGATTTTCACAATTACAGTACATACCTCTATTCTATCTTGGAGTCTAAAGGAAAAACTCATCCACTGGATTTATATTACTCAGTTTGGGGAAGACAAGTCCTGCGTAGAACTTCATGAAAGCAGGCAATGTGGCATCTATTTGATAGCCTGAGATTCTTGAAAGTTTCAACAAATCATTACAAAAGGCAAAGGCACATATGCATTGCTTTACAATCTACATCCATTGCAGTCTTTTTTTGAAGGCACCAAGGGATATTCATAACAGATACTGTAGGTAACAACAAACATTCTGGAGTTTCCTTTCTGTTAGGGATTAACCTGAAGTTTCAGTTTTTCCAGCTGAGAGAATCTTTACCAGGCTGATCTTCAGCCTGTAGAACAGGAATTGGCTGAAAAGAGCACACCTGATAAGATGCAGGTGCAGGATGAATCAGTCGTCCCAGAGCCATTGGCTCTGCAGCACATGGAGGTGAGCAAAGGAAATTGAGTCACCTCTATGCAATCTCTTTGATTCAGAAAATTAGGCAAGCTGGTTGGAAAGGCTACATCAAGGGTGTCAAACTTGCATCGTTATGGCGTTGTCACATGACGTATTGCAACTCCCCCCTTGACTAAACCAGGCGTGGGAGTGGCCAGTGCATGACACATCCAGCCTGCAGGTTGCGAGTTTGACATCCCTGGGCTACATCAATGAAATTGCTACTTGAGCAGTTCTTTGTGGCCATCAATCTTGATAGCTATAGCACTTAGACTTATCTACTGCTTCACAATGCTTTACTGCCTCTCTAAGCAGTTTACAGAATCAGCATTTATGAAATTTACAAACGATACAAAATTCCAATTTTGTATTGTAACTAGACCATTTCTGGATCCTTTGTAAACTGGCATTTTGTCTCTTTGAACTATTTGAAAAAAAAGCTTTTGTATTGTCAATCCTTAAGTAGAATGTTTGCAGCTTGCAATTTGTTTATGTTATTACAGTTTAGGATTTATGACTTCAATAAATACTTTGAGTTTGTTGCTGGCTGTGTGTGCATAATTGGCAGCACAGAGCAGCCTCTGAAAGTGGATGATTTCTTATAAGAACCCTCTCTTTCTCAAGAAATGAGATAAAAGGACAGATACAGCTTTAATAATAGACATAGGTTTGTTTTCATCTCTTTCTCTCTCATTAATTTTTATGCTAAGCTGATTTATTCTCTGGGACATAGCCAGGCCTCATGGTCACATTCAACATTTTCAGAATAAGTTGTGACCATCCACATTTAATTCTTACCTTGGGAAGGTCTTGCCAATCCTCAAATGGCAATTGTAGTTGGTTAGCACATTTTTTTAAAAAAAATCCTCAGTGTTAAACTGGTTGATCTCTGCCATAACACTCATAGCAATATCACTGAGACTTATATACCGCTTCACTATTCTCCCCTCACTGAGAGGTTTACAGAGTCAGCATATTGACCCCAACAATCTGGGTCCTCATTTTACCGACCTTGGAAAGATGGAAGGCTGAGTCAACCTTGAGCCTGGTGAGAATTGTACTGTTGAACTGCTGGCAGTCGGCAGTCAGCACAAGTACCCTGTAGTATTGCATTCTAATCATTGTGCCACCATGGCCCATAGGGTAGCCATCATTAACTTCTAGCTTTCCTTATGGTTATGTTGATAAAAATGGAGAAAACAAAACCTGAGGTGCAGTCACTCAATATTTTTATGGGAAAACAAACTTGATATCTAAAGACATATTTACCAACCAAGATGGTTTGGATACTTGGTTTTACAACATAGCTAGTTCTTGATGTTTTAAAAAGAAATCTCAATGATTTTTAAGACTACAAAGGATTTAATTGGGTTCAATTTGGAAATCCAGGATGAGGCAATTAAAATACTAATTCCATACTGGTATTTGGCTTGTGATACACTGGTAATTGGCAGTGACAGTCCAGACAATTCAGCAGGGACAGGATTTATGGAAAGATAATATATTTTGATTATTGTAGATGGCATATTTCCATAAATAATCATGCTTTTTGTGCATTGGTCAGTATTATGATAGACTGTGTTGGACTATTATGATTATTATGATTGTTATTACTATTATGATTATTATGATTATTATGATTATTATTTCCCAGGATTAGTAATGATTTCTTAGATTTATATCTCACTTGGAAACTTCTCTCCTCTCTTCAGTCACCTGTGGGAATGTCCTTGGTTCTCAGGGGAAACTCTTTTGTTTTGATTACAAAACCCCAGCTATCTCTATTCCGCACTGCCTATCCCTCAGCATCAAAGCAGCAACACTGAAGCTTCCAAGATGGCCTCAGTCAGGCCAGCTTCAGAGTTGACAGCAATAGCCAGAAAGAGAGCACAGGAGGCTTAGCTGATTAGCAGAGGAACCTCAGAGGGAGTTCCAGCAAATAGCCACCTTGTGAAAGGATCAGGACAAAGGGTGTCACCCTCAGTGAAAGCTAAGTGCTAAGGAAGCATCTGATTCAAGTCTTCTTCCTCTCCTGGAGAGGGGGAGTGAAAAATGTTCCCGTTGCCATAGTGGAAACCCATTCAGTTTTATCGATTTTCAGTGATTCCCAGGATGCTCGGCTCAAAGGTCTGAATTGGGACAGATACATGATAGATGAAATGCACGATCCGTGCACCGAGTTTTTCTGCATACATTTAATTATTTTAGGATGAAAGATTAGTGGTCTGCAGCTAAGTGCTTACTCATTTCACGTCTGATAAAAATCACCTAAACCGTTCTCTGGATTATGATGAATTTTGCAGTACAACAGCAAGATTTTTTTTCCTTTTTTTTTTAAAAAAAACAAGGCTGTTCGTTTGAGTCTCCAAACCTGCTTTCTTCCCATTCAATCTTATGTCAGTGTAAATTTTTTTCTCCATTACTTTTTCCTGCCTCGAAATCAATGATCCACTAACCAGGAGTGTACAGAAAGGGAGCCTCAAAATATTACTATTGGAATAGGTTTTACCTGATTAGTCTTACTGCCGTGAAACGAAAATATTGATCCACCCGACATTTTAAAATCCTTACGTCTCGCAGGGGTCACCTTTGGAGTGACTGCAGCAGGGAGTAAAGAGAAAGTAGGAAAGTCGGAATATTTGTATGAGGGTTTTCAAAGTGGCATGTCATTAGCCTTTCCCTCAGGACAAAGAAAATATCAAGAACACCTTCTGCATATTTCGCAGACCTTACAATCATGTCTAAAACAAAACGGATTGATTTGGGATACAAGTAGTCCTTGGCTTACAACCACTCATTCAGTGACCGTTTGGAGTTACAACGGCACTGAAAAAAAGGATTTATGAGCATTTTTCACACTTCAACTGTTGCGACATCCCCACGGCCATAGGGTCAAAATTCGGATGTTTGACAACTGGCATTTATTTATGACATTGGTTGCAGTGTCCTGGGGTCATATGATCACCTTTTGCAACTCTCTGGCAAGCCAGTCAACGAGGAAGCCAGATTCCCTTAAGGACAGTGTTACTAACTTAACAGCTGCAGTGATTCACTTAACAATGGTGGCAAGAAAGGTTGTAAAATGGGGCAAAATTCACTTAACAACTGTCTTGCTTAGCAACGGAAATTTTGGGCTTGATTATAGTATAGTTTTTCTATAAATAATGGAAAAACAAACAGATTTTATGATGAACAGGGAAAAAGAATAGAGGACTTCAATATTTCAGTATTTTAGTGGTGAATAAGAAGTTTAGAGCTGCATTCTACAAACTCACCCTTCGAGATCATTTGGGGACCATTATTGCTAGTGGTAAAAAAGGAAGCTCCCACCACCACCACAAAAAAGTTTGGGAAGAAGACATAATATTACATGTAGAAAATAGCAGAAGGAAGATGGAAGGGAAATAAAAGGATCTGTTGTTTTTCAGAGGAAGCCAGTCTTTCTCTGCTATGTAGATTGTTCTTCTTACACAAAAGAACCTCCAAGGTGCACAGACAAAAGAGACTGACTTTGGGAAAGGTTTACTCACATTAAATCCTTTTTTCTTCCCTATCTACCTACATGAAGTGTTTGTCATCGTCATCATCAACAACAACAACATCATCGCTATGTATGGGTTTGCAGTTAAATTTAAGCCATAGCATCATTGTGGCTCTTCTGGAGTTGGCTTCTGCTGACACAAAACTAAATGCATGGCTTGAAGCATCATGAACATGATGTTGCAGTTTTAATGTTCCAAACAATGAAATGAACATTTGAAGCCTTGCAGTCATTGCAGTAGGGGAAAAAAATGAGAATTGAGTGTTATATATGTCATCTAGTGTAATAACAAGAAGGAAGGAAGGCACAGATAACAGATAATCAGAGTTGGAAGGGACCTTGTAGGTCATCTAGTCCAACAGCGGGAGACCCTACACCAGTGGTTCCCAACCTTTTTTTCACCCCGCACCCCTAAAGAAATTTCACTCGAACCTCGCACCCCCTGAAATTTAGACTTAAACGCTAAAATGAAAACAAAGTTAATCCATTGCTTAATAAATAAAAATGCCAACATATAGCCAATATCCTATTATTTACCTGGACTTTTCTCGCACCCCCTGGAATATCGTCTTGCACCCCCAGGGGGTTAAAGCACCCCAGGTTGGGAACCCCTGCCCTACACCATTTCTGACAGATGGCAGGAAGGAAGGAAGGAAGGAAGGCACTGCTGCATATTTCCATAGAGATAATCTTCCTTACTTTCTATACCAGGGATGTCAAACTCAAGGCCCGCGGGCCAGATCCAGCCCACCGGGGGCCACCCTGAAAACAACAAAGGACTGGCCAGCAGTGCTGGCCTGCGTGCGTGGTTCCCCAAGCTCAATTTTTGTTGGCAGAGGGCTAGCAAAACAAACTAAAAACAAAAGAAAAGCAGAAATGTTTTCCCGTTTTGCATTTGAGCATGAAAGAAGGGACAGGAAAGGAGAAAGGAAAAGAAAAAGAAGAAGGGATGGGAAGAGGGTAAGCAAGGAAAAATAATGAAAGAGGGGAAGGAAGAAGAAAGAATGAAGAGGGAAGGAAAAAGGAGAGAAGGAAGGAAGAAAGGAAGAAAGGAAGAGATATCATAATGTGAGGGAAGATCTAAGGGAAGTCCTGCCTTAGCACTTGGCCACCACAGGTGCCCCTGACACGAGTTGAGCTGGGCACTTCCACCCTCGCCTTGCTCCCCACCCTTCCGAGGTCAAATACAACCCTGATGCAGCCCTCAATGAAACCGAGTTTGATTTATATATGCTTTATATTGATGAGTCTCCTACCCACTTCCCCCAGGTATGAGGTGATCCCTGCCTTGCTTTGGATTGACACTGTGCCTTGACTTGGACTTATTTTCATTGGGAAACTTTAAAGGGTCTTGTGGACTCATTGGCCATTGCTCTATGAACTAGCATTGGTCTGCTTGTGGCTGGACTTAATAGTTCTGGGTTTTTGGTGCAGGGAGTTGCAGGGGAATTATAATAAATCCAGTAAACTACAGGTGTGTGTGTGTGTGTGTGTGTGAGAGAGAGAGAGAGAGAGAGAGAGAGAGAGAGTGAGAAGGACAGCAATGCAGTGACCAGTACTGAATATACATTAAATAAGAGCTTACAGTAGTAGCCAAAATTGTGGAAACCTTTTGGGAAAAGTGTATTTTTAAGGTTTGATGGCTAATAACACCACATTTTTTGCGGGGTGGGAGTAGTACCATAAATCAATGGAAAGATAATTTAATCAAGAATGTAATGCAATAAAGTTTGTTCAATTATCTGTATTCTATGGAAACTTATAGCCAAATAACCAGAAAAAGGAAGTACAACTTGCTTAGGTTGATATCAGGCAGCTTTCCTTCATCTGAGTGTAGCCAATGAGTGTTTAGAGAGCCAATGACATGTCATCTTGTTTTGGTAATGAGCCAATCAGATCACAATAGGATTCAGTTATTGATGTCATGTATTGAAGCTGAGAGGAGGACATTTGTCAGTGTGTTATGTGATCGCTATCAAGTTGGTTGGTTTTTTTTTTGTGTGTGTTCTTTCATTTAGTGAGCTTGCAAAACATAATAAAATTAAAGTAATGGTGCAAAGAGTTGACTGGTTGCCCAGAAAGTGATGTAAAATAGTATTATTAAGTGACCAAGGCTACAGCGATAAAGAAATTAGAAGAAAAATTGGTAGAAACTTAACCAAAGGTGGCATTTAGTTTTTGAAGAGGTATAAAGAGACTCAGTCACTACAAAACCACACTGGAAAAGGCAGGAAAAGGTGCACAACAACAAGTGATGATAGAAGAATTAAGAGACTATGCCTACATGACAGAAGAAAATCATCTGGATGTATACAAGATGAAATGGTGCAATGCAATGTGAAGTTGAGTGCAAGGACTGTTCGGCACAGACTGTAGGAATTTGGCCTAAAATCTAGAATTCCATGAAAAAAACCACTTTTATCTCTCAAACAAAAGTTGAAAAGAGTAAACTGGGCTAAAACCCATGTTACCTGGACAGAGGAACAATGGGACAGTGTTATTTGGAATGATGAGACCAAGATCTCACTGTTTGATAGTGATGGCATAAAAATACACTTTTACCAAAAGGTTTCCACAATTTTGGCCACTACTGTATCATATTTTACAGGCTCATAAACATTTTCTTAAATGTCAGCCTGCAATTGCAGCTCTTTTAAGTGTACTTATTTCCATTTTTCAGATACTGCCTGCATGGAGTGAATTAAGAGGCAATTTTTGCCTCGCGTTGCAGTCATTCTGTTTTTGTTTTATCATTTCTACAGGCAATCTGTATTGGGCCCATATCTCTTTATTTTGTAGCTAGTTCCAATTCCCAACTAAAATGCAATTTGCAGCTCTGGCAGACTTCAAACTAAGGACAAAAGAGATGGGTAGAAATAACTCTGTGATCTTTAAGCATTTATTTTTTTTGCTTCATGACTGTAGAGAAAAATAGCTTTTCTCCCAAAGAAGTCTCAGCTGGCCATTTTACACCAGACCTTAAATCCCTCCTAAGTCCAAATCTATGAACCATTTTGTGGCAATCTGTTATTAACACTAAGCGCTCTTTGAAAATCCAAACTTATTTACTGATACAACCACAACACTTAGCCTATTATTGAATTTTTAATTAATAAATCATTATAATTCCACAGTTGCAGCAAATGAGAATAAACTGCAAGGTATGATGAAAAAGAAAGTACTTAAATGTTCATTAAAGGAAATCCTAAAACCCAATTAAAAAGTATTTGGGGGGACTTCTGGTGACGAGATATGGGCGAACGGAGGTGCTGAAGCTCGCTCTGGGTTTCATGCTATCTCCTCTTGCTGTTGGAGTGATCCTTAGGGGTGCACGCATCTTGCAGAGAAGTGTGCCAGTGTGGGGAGACTCAAGTCGTGGTGTGGAAAAGGCAATTCTCATCGCGACGTAGAGAAACCCTGTGGAGACCGACAAGAGACTGTCAGCAATGGCGGTCCTAAAGCCTTGATGGTTGCAAACAAGAGGAAGCGAGTGAGTGACAGACTGTGGTGAACGAAGAGTGTGAGTGAAAGAATTTGCGATCCTGATTGAGCGTTGAATATTGGAGTATCTTAGTCGGAGCGAAGCCCAAAAACAGCGGACAAAGCAGATACGAGCGGCGGCGAAAGTGAAAGGGCTCGTGAGACGGAAGAGGATAAGGACGGGAGCGATTGGACAGAGAAGATAAGAGAATCGGAGGGATCTGAGAGACTGATAATAATTGGGGGAGAGAAAAGAAGAAGAAAGAAAGAACAATATTTTAATTTAAGGGAACTTTGAAGGACTTGAATTGTAGACTTTGGGGAAAATTGGAAGGACGAACTTGAGATGGGGGGAGACTTAAAGTAAGGAATTAAATTACAACTTTAAATATTCCACGAACGAAATTGAATAATTTACTAGTCTCCTTTTGGATTATTAGACTGGAGCTGTAGTAAGTGGAGAAGATTTATTAAAGAAAGAGACTATTTGAATCTAAAAATTGACTTGTTAAACTTTCAAACGAAAGGAGAAATGACTACAGCGGAAAGTGTGGTGAGATAGTGAAATCAGAGACATTA